AGTAAAAAAAAAAAAATGAAAAACTAGTTGTAGTGGTGCGACACTCTTGACCACGATGATTCTCTGAAAAAAAAAAAAAGACATTCTCTGACCTAGCCCTGCAGACACACACAAATATAAAAGAAGTAAAAACACTCCCTAACATCATTCATCATAAACGCACTGCGCTAACCTCCTCAGTCATTTCTTCCATTTTCTCTTCTGAGCCTTTTGCCTCACGAAGTTTCAGCATCTTCGGAATAAAATATATGCCTGAGAAAACACTCGGTCAGCGCAAACTGGTACTGATGTGTGTTTTCCCAGAACTCCACAATCCTCCCATGATCAACATCTCCCACACTCGGCGGGCCGACGACATCACATCTCTGCCAGTCGTTCATCGGCGTGCTGGCTGCGTGCCGCAGACAAATGATCTCCCACGACAATCCCTGAGCAAATTCACCCCAACCATTAAAATATACCGCCAGGCACTCAGTGAACTGCCCCACAGTGCCGGCGGTGGTGTGGTGCGCACCCGCCGTAGCCATCCGCAGCCCAACCAGCGTCCTTGGATTGGACTCTGAAAAAAAAAAGGAATCCACCAGCGGAACGTTTGTGGCCCACGGTTTGTGCAGCACCCCGTACTTTATTTTACGGATCGTTTTTTCATATTCACTCGGCAGCAAACCTTCATCTCCCTTGGGATGCAATTCAGGGGCCAACTTCAAGACGCAGGGCTTTGCTTGACGTCCTGTTGGCGGCTCAAACTCCGTGGGTTTCGTCGCTATTACCTTGGCAAAGGCACTCTCTGTGAACGATTTCAAAGCAAACAATCAAAAAAATATTGGCAAAATATTATCCTTCGACGCCAACATCGGCCTCAAAAGCTATTTTATTCTGCTACACTTGGGAGGCGTTCCAATGTCCGTTCCTCGAGGCAAGCAGATATCGGTGCATTGAAAAGGATCACACCGCCTGCGTATATTTCCCGAACAACCTTCCACAGGCTTGTGGGACGGATCCTCAGAATACCGTGGCGACTCACCTCCCCGTGAAAAGTACTCTTTCGCAGTTACCTCGTTGATCGATTGCAATGCAAACCTCACCGCTCCACAGCTTTCCCTAAACGCCTCCTCATCAAAGACGTGACGTGGAATCGGTCCCAAAAGATACATGTGTTTTTCAACCTCTTTCCAGTATTTCGCTTGTTTCTCTTTAGTCTCATCACGCGTTATCCAGGCGCACATCGCCTTCACATCCACCTCGTCGAGGCAATTCACGATGACTCGCGCGGCCTGTAGCTGCTTCGCCCACTCATCATAGCTGGTTACCTTTGGGAATGACACCGCAATCATGCCCCATCCAGAAGTAGGCGCAAAACGTCTCGGTGGCGGCGTTCCCTCCTTTGCCACACCGTAGGTAATATACACATTCCTCACATGCTCCCTCAAACTTCTCAACTCCGAGACGCACATGTCCTCATCGCTGCATCTTGTCACCGCTCTGGTGGTCTTGTCAGACACGTACGCATCTCCTCCACCAAAACAGTGGACCACCACTTGGAGTTTCTCAGCATCGCAGTGCAGCAGCTGGTAGAGGAGGTACGAGCTGGCAGCCATCGACTTCCCGATCCCGGGCGTCCCAATCAACACACGTCGTCTAGGCTAAAGTCGGTCCCACCGTGAGTGCCGAACCACGCGGTTGGATCGTCAAGGACGGTCTGCCACGCCCGATCCACCCCACAGTTTACAAGAACGTCCTTGGGAAGAACCTGTATCGTATTCCACGAGTGCGGCCATCCCTTCCTCGAGGCAAGCAACATCAACACGGGAGGTGCCGCACCGAATTGCCGCACAGCGTCATTCTCTTCGATAGCGTCGTCAGCTTCCCTGTACGACCATGTCTGTTCTGGCTTCCCCTCATGCACCTCCATTCCCGTCCCCGTTTTCTTTCGCTCCACGCCGTCGGGAATTTCCACCACATGGTGCCACCTCGCATTGTACACAGACTCGTAGCATCCCTCCAGTTTCTCCGGTGCGCTCGTCGTCGTTGGGTTCCTCGCCTCCTCGGCAGCTGCATCCAAGAAATGTTTGGTGGAGTTATGAACAGCTGCTTTTACCTCCGCAGCAGCTAATGACCGCCCCGGTAGGTTGTTGACACCCTTATCGCATAGCTTGCGTATATCCTCATCGAAGATCACTTCACCCTTCACAGCTCGCTTCATACTCAAATAACGACCTGATGCCTGTATTTCGTTCAATACTCCCTTATCACGGATATACTTCGTGGGGTCCTTGAAAAACTCCTTCAGCAAAACATCCCGATTGGTGTCCACAATGCCCCTGCCGTCCAGTTCCCTCGTAAGAAAGTCGTTCAGCCTCATTTCATTGACGCGAGCTCTTCCCTTAAACAGTACATCTTCGATATTAGTGGAAATGGTAAATTTCATTTCTTGCGTTCGTCTCAGCCTTTCCTCTGCCTCCCGCCCCGCTTCTGTCAGTACCTGCGTGAGTACTCCATTTGGTGTTCCCTTGCAATGGGAGTGATCGTATCCTTTTCTTTCATAGTCTCGACGTTGCCCGAGAGAGAACACACCTTCGTGAAGAGGCCTAGTAATGGCCTCCAGCGATTGGTACGCAGTTAAGTTAAAAATTTCTTCAAGAAGCCGCCGGTCTTGTGCGTAACCATCCGACTCCTGAATAAACATCTCCATCGTCACATTGTAGTCTTTCATCAACGGCCGCCCTGCCGCCAACATAATTCCAAAGGAAATCGCTCAGCCTCATGTTGGTGCTGCTCAAGAGTCCACTTTGGTTGCTGCGTTCCCTTCACTCCTCTCCGTGTTGCAGCGTCGGAACCATCGCCGGAGATGCCACGGAGAGGCGCCATCACAACACCCGTGCAGTGAAGCATCCCACTCGCACCGCCCACCTGCGGCCAGCAGGCGCCGCTGGCCCCAAAGGACAGTCGCGGCTGTTTCTTCTCGCAGTCCCAATGGCGTTGGGCGTGGCACTCGCACGGCGGAGTGGTCGGTGCGCCATGCAGCCGCACTGCGACGCCTGTCGGTGAAACAGTCAATGCCCACCGCCCCCGCAGCAACGCAACGTGCAATCGGCCACAACACCGCCACACTACCGTCCTTTTTATTTTGTTTTATTCACGTTTTCTGTTTGTTTGTTTTCCCGATCACCGACACCAAAAATAAGTGCACACATTCACGCAATAATAAAAAAAACAATCCCACCGTCCCGCCGCGGGTCAACACTCTCCTCCACCCACCATCATCGCCGCGCAGGAGACCGCAGTCACATCGCAGAGTCAACACCACAATGTGCACCACACCATCGTGCAGTGAACGATGGGCGGGACGCAGCCACGCATCGCCCCGCTCCATTTTACCACCACTCAAGTGTTGCGTGCCCGCACAAAATAGCAAGCACAATCAGAGTGCACACAAACCCAATCAACACCCTCACCCGCTGAAGCACATTATTCGCATGGAGTGACAACATTTAGGGACACACCGGCAGTAGCAGGCCGCACGGAATTTCCCTGCCAACCACGCGAAGAGACACAACAACTCTGCGGAGTCACAGTGGCAGCCCCTCGATGTTGCCTGCAGTCCACATGGCAGGAAGAATTCCACGCACGCATAGTTCCGTACACCTCGCTGTTTGAGTGCACACCAACGGAACATGTGAAAAATACGTGCGCGCAAGACGGCAATTAAATCCATGAGAAAGTCGGCCTGCTTTCTCCGATGGCGTTGGCGAGCAGTCCCGCACAATCCAATCAAAGTGGCACGCCGGACGGAATGGCGTCCGTCAACCAATAAAAAAAAATGCGACACTGAAAGGGAGCAGCGAAGAGTTGGCGCATGCGATTGCCAGCGACAACTGTGAGCAACCCGCCAGCACTAACCGAGGTGCCGAGGAGCACGCTTGTGTACAACTGGCCATCAAGCAGAGAGGACAAGCAAAACAAGAGGGCAGCAAACCCTCTCGTTCAATGCCTCCTGACCGCGACACCAGAATCAAAATAACATGGACGATAAGAGCGGCAACGCCTTCTCCAAAACATCTTGTCAAGAAGCCGCAGGACCTCAGGAGGAGAGAAAGGCAGCGGCGGCAGCCACAGAGGGGGAGGCAATAAAACGGCTGGCAGGCACCTTCACGTCGACGCGCACACCACATCCGAGTGGGCCGGGAGCACAGACCGAACCGCTCGGAAACACACGCATCAAATCCGCAAAACAAAGTCGCAGTGAATCGACAGGAACTCCCCGCCCAAAACAAATTCAAAAAGTGGCGTTTTTCAAGGGGGAATCCGCTTTTCCGACGACGGCACGAACACCTCGCAGAAATTTCTTGCAAATCTCCCTTCGCAGGTCCGCAAGAAAACGCAGCGGAATAAAAAGAGAGCGCAACGACGCAAAAATAATAATCCTCCCAACCGACCAGGTGGCAGGCCGCCCTCGCGCAAGTGGACAAAACACAACTTCACTCCGGTCTTGCGGTGGTGGTCGTCTCGCAACATTTTCTTCCTTTTCTTCTCGTCGCAGTGCACATCCCCTCCCACAAATCATTTGTTCGGGCCATGTTCCTGCATCCAAACAACGCGCTGCTCGATCCCGCGGCACAGTCCTCGGCGCAGAAGTGAGGGGAGGAAGAGGGACCGCAGAAGGTGCGAGCAAATCCGAATTCGGTGGCGGTCGCTGCAGTGAAGATTGACGTCCCACGCGGTGTCCCTTTTTTAGGTCTGGTCCTCACCGTGTCATGCGCTCAGCGTGCGGTGCGCCGGCCGCTCCGAGCCCCGTCCGTGCTTGCGTCTCACCGTCGCTCCCAGCCCCGTTCGTTGGCTGCATCAGGGACGCCGCCATCCAGAGACGGGCATAAGGACGTTGCATCCAACAAAACCTTCAGAGGCACCCGGTGGGCCAACGACGACCGTCACTGCGGGGTGTGCAGCCCTTCCGCCGCTCACCTCAAATCGCACTTCTACGCCTCCTCGAGCAGCAGCAGCAGCAGCATAAATGCACCGGTCCACTAGAGGCCGTCACCAGCCATTGCAGGAAGACCACTGTGCCCCAGTGCTATAAAACCCGAATTGCATTGACGGGCCACTTCGGAAAATCCTGTCGCATCCTCCCCCATTATGCGGAAACGCATCCGTCGTGCATGTGGCCACCGCAGCCAAATGAATCCGGTCCAAATACCATCCAAATCAAATTCCCCTTTCCTCAAGCCATTCCTTCATTCCATACGCCCTGACCATCATCCGCACGCGCCCGCTCACACAAACCGCCACAGCCCCGCTGCCGGCACACAACGCACACGGAGCGAGCAATCGCCTAAAGAGCCACACGCGGAAGCGATCCCCATCCATCCATGACGCGGCGCCAAAATTTCCAGCCATTCCACCCACACCGAAAGGATGCGGCACTCCACAGCAGTCGCAGCCCACCGCGCGCATCACACCCGCAGGAAGAGTGACTCGCGGTGCGCGCTCCCCCCCTCCCCTCCTTCCCTTCATGCCCACGGAGGAAGCAGCAGCCACCCGCAACCGCCAGCACACGCTACAAAAGAAGCATCCAAATCCACTGCAATGTGCATCTTGTGTGTGTGTGCGCCCGCAGACACACGAGGCAAAGAAGTAAAAACAGAAGCAGAGCATGTGAAAAGACCCACAAACAAAAATGTACAGCAGAAGTGCATGGCGGAAATAACAGGACTGCCCAAGCTCATGATACAGCACTGCAGACAAAGCAGCAGCAATTCATAAAAAAACTATTAAAATAATTAGAAAAAACAATTCCCTCTCATCATATATTAGCCCCCCTCGCACACAATAATTATATAAAAAGAAAAAGAAAGTCGTTCTCTACTAATGTTCCACCCAAAAAAAAAAAAGAAAAACCACACAAAAATCCACCTGGTTACCGTGTGGTCCCACCAAACTACCTGTTTATTTTGACCACAGGGTGAATTTAGAAAGATACATCTCTTTCAACCGTCTGACCCTCTGTGTGTCCGCACAGCGTTTATATTTCATGGGGTCATCTGCGTGTTGCTGCTCCCCTCAGCCCTTTCATCGGCGCGTGAGTGCGGCCCGCAGAGCACAGTCAGTCGTGTGTGTGGGGACTGAGAGAAGCACGCAGACATGACGGCAGTCGCGTCACTTCATCGGGAGAGTGAGCGCAGCAAAAAAAAAAAGAAAAAGAGAAACACGGCGGCAGGGTGTGGCTGTGTGTGTGGCGCTGCGAGTGTCTGCCCGCCCTGACCGCAATAAAACAAAACAAGAGGGAAGAAATGTGTGCTCCGCCCCACAGGCCCTCGTCGCACGCCCACACGTCACGGCTCCCTCAGCGCGCCGTTCGTCGCGGCCCCTCCTCATGCGTGCAGCAGGCGAGGCGCACAGGGCCGTCGTCATGAGCGTGTCGGTGGGTGTGCGAGTGGAGCAGTTGGGCGGGAACACACGGCACCCCTCGCAGGAAGAATGCGGAAAAAACAATTAAAAGAGGGAAGAGTAGAAAAGGAAAAAAACGTCCATAGTGATTGCCCCAAGGCAACAAGCAAGATAAGCAAAATAATTAAAGCAAAAACAAGAAAAAGAAAAGAATAATCTTCCGGGCAGCTGGCCGGATCCTGAAATTATTTATGGAAACCAAACAAGTTGGGAAAAAAGGTTCTTTAGTTAATTGCTTCAATGTTTTCTTTTCATTCAATATATAAAATTCTGTGGACCATTAGCATGGTCCTTTGTCCTCAGTTAGGATTTGAAATATTATTACTTACGAAGTGGCAGACTTTGGGGTCCTGCAGCCACAAGACCCCGCCGCTCCCTTTCGCAAGTTCCACCCCTTCGCCAAGTCCTGAAGTGTAAACAGACGACCGCGTGATATGCCGTCTGCGGGGTTTTCTGCGGACCGCACGTAGGCAAAGGAAGCCTGCATTCCGCGAGAGTCCAAAAATTCAAATATCCGTCGCAGCTCCCACGTCATGGTGTATGACTTTGAGCTGCCTTTATTCGCCGCTCCTTGCAGCGAAGTGTTGTCCACCCACACGTCCATGGTGGATGGCAAAATGGCGGAAAAGGCCGACAAGGCCAAGCGTACCGCTCGTGCCTCGGCCTGCATGATAAGAAAAGGCTTCCTCTTCCATTTCCCTCCGGCAATTTTAACGTCGCCGGAGTCTGGAATAAAAACGGCTCCCCATCCATGGAGCGATGCGTCCGTGATGATGGCGGCCGATGCCATTTCCGTGGAATTGATGGTTCGCTTGCGATTGTTCTCGATGGTGTGTCGCAACCTCTCGCCCAAACCAACCGCTGCCGGCGGAACGTTCGCCGGGGATGTCTCCAGTACAATCCCCCGGTGAAGTGCGGATAATCGTCGTCGCACTGCCTTGATGAAAAGGTAGTAGTCAAATACACGCGTGCACAAAATGGCAGCCGCGTACAAAAAGCGTGACGCCAAAACCTCCATTCCCGCGATGGGTAAATACTTCAGCGCCGGCATGGCGCGTACAGACCGGACAAACTTCTCACTCAGGGATACCACACGGTGAGTGTGATCAAACTGCACCCCCAGGAAGGTGTACTGCGTGGCGCCCGATTCGCGGCCATCCCATATCGTGGCGTGACAACTCTCCGCATTACGAAGCGCTTGGGCTTCCCACAATGTCACATCGCTTTTCGGCCCTGCTATGCGTATATTATCGATCCATACGTCGATACGCACCAATGGAGGTGCGGCCCAGAGGGGGTGAACCACCGTCGTCACCCCGCAATTGCCGAAGTAATAATAATCTGGAGAATTTCTGGGCCGGCCTTGTATCCCATAGGGAGCCGTGGGGGCTCCACCAGCGTGCCGTCCTCCACGCGGCATCGAAAGAGATGCCGAGCCTCCCGTGGTAAAGAGACTTGAAAAAAGGACGCCTTTAAGTCCAGGCAGGAAGCGGCCTCAGCCATCACAGGCGGCAAATAATGGGAAATATGTAAAAGAGGAACATGAGCCTCGTAAGGGTCGTCTATTTTCTTGTCGCGTGGCCACGCAATCCATCGTCGTCTTCAACCGGTGGTTTTCTCCTCCACAACTGAGAAAGGCATTATCCATCCGCCTGTTATTGTGGACGAACCGTCCTCGATTATTCCAGCTTTTCGTAAAAATCTCGCGTCAGCGGTTGGAATCCTCCGTGAGCCTTCGCGCGCTTTACCGGAGGAAGACGGTGGAAGAGGGGACCACCCGACGAGTCCCCATACTTGCATAAGACTCTCCAAGGTGGCCGGGTTCAACCAACTTTTGATCCACTCTAGGTTCAATAAGGGCACGTTGACTTGCTGTAACGGGATGGTTCGTTCATCGTGTGGAGTGGCCGGACGCGTCCTTGGCGTGCGTCTCGTTATTGTAGCAGCATGATTGTGATAAAATCAAAAAAAAAAATGCTCCTCCGTTCTCAGCCAGGGTTCTTGCCCTTCCGCCGTTTCTCCCTTCACATTATTGCGACCAGCGACAACACCTGGGTCAGCAATGTGGTGTACCTCCACAAATATCGAACTGTGCTCTGGGGAAGGTCAAACGGGTCGAAGTGCTTCGCCAACTGCGAGACCACGTGTAGGTCCAAATTGTACGCCTCCACGATTTGAGCAGCGTGTCTCAACGCACCGCGTTCTATGGAATGCGCCGTGGCATTCCAAGGAGCGAGAGCTCGTTCGACTTTGGCATTAGTGATATTCGTGAGTTTTTCGTTTTCTTGAAGTGTCCTGCATGGCTTTATAATGTCGAAAGCGTCCTGCCCTCGTATCCTCACGAACTGCGAGGCGCGGTGGGGATCCGCCCTCGCCGTCTTCGGCGCCACGGGCCAATCCAAAATTAAGGTCCCGTCCGCCCCCATTGTGGAATTGTTGGGGATTAAGGCCGCGATCTCGGACCAACGACTCGCCGTTATCCACGCAAGTCAAAAAACAACACGTTCCCTCCAATCGGTCCGACTGCGGATAACTTGATTCATCCACCGCTTTCCTTTGTCAAGGGGCACGTCTGCTTCACCACCGATCGCACCGCAACTTTTTGTAACCTCAAAGACGCAATATCCAGCGGGGTTCGATCCATTTGCAACATGGACCGCAGCATCCTGGCGTACTGCAGTCGGGTCGATGGCGCGACTTCGATTGCCATCAAAAAGGCCGCGCAGCTCTCCTCGTTCATCGGCTGTTCGTGCGTGCGGCAAAAAGTCGTGAATCGCCCCGCGAGGGACATTCTCGGCTCCCACGTTGACGGCGCCCACATCTCTCGAGCGACCTCGTTCGCTTTCCTCATATAACTGGCCCAAGGCGGGGATGTCGGTAATTCGTCGTACCACAGTCGAGCGTCGTTAGCAAATAAGCTCCATTGCCCTTCTCGACGATTTCGTCGGGCGATTTGAAATATCGGGTGGAGCGCCGGCGGTGCGGTGCGCTGCCTGTGAGGATTGGTGGGAGGTGGCGGATTGGATGGGCCAGCCGGGCGTGCTGATTCAGGTTTACGAGGGCGAGCGGCAGATGACGAAGGACAACCGCCTGCTTGGCAAGTTCGAGCTGTCCGGCATCCCGCCGGCTCCGCGTGGCGTGCCGCAGATTGAGGTAACTTTTGACGTGGACGAAAACAGCATCCTGCAGGTGAGCGCCGTGGACAAGTCGTCGGGGAAGAAGGAGGAGATCACCATCACGAATGACAAGGGTCGCCTGAGCGAGGAGGAGATTGAGCGCATGGTGCGCGAGGCTGCGGAGTTTGAGGACGAGGACCGCAAGGTGCGCGAGCGCGTAGATGCGCGAAACTCGCTGGAGAGCGTCGCGTACTCGCTGCGCAACCAGGTAAACGACAAGGAGAAGCTTGGTGGGAAACTGAGCGCGGATGACAAGAGCGCCGTGGAGGCTGCAGTGAAGGAGGCGATGCAGTTCCTTGACGACAATCCTAACGCTGACAAGGAGGAGTACGACGAGGCGCGCGATAAGCTGCAGAGCGTGACGAACCCGATCATCCAGAAGGTGTA